AAAAAAAAAAAAAAAAAAAAAAAAAAAAAAAAAAGTAATATATATTGTGCTCTATTCATGTTTAATGGCTCAAATCTATTGATAAATCACATGAATGCTTATTTATATTTATCAATAATCTATTTTTAGATTATAGATAAACCTTTTTGAGATTATTGTTATTTATATATTTCAATTAAATAATATGGAAAAACCTTATTTGTTGTTTTGATTTATTTGTTTATGTTGATGATTCTATTATATTTTTAATAGTTGTTTTCATACTTGTGTGAAATGTCGATTAACTTGTTTAGATAACAAGTTATATGGATATGTGTATGTTTTGCTTATTGCTTTTACATATATACTTGTTTTATTTGTCTGCTTTTTATATGTTTATGTTTATATAATAAGATAAGAGATAGGTATATTGTTTATGTGTATATGTATATTTAAACTGTTTTGCTTTTAAGGTACTTTGATATTTTTCAGAACCTTTAAGTAATTGAAGCAACTTGATTTATCAAGTGGACTTAGTTACTTTTTGGATTCCTTACATTATCAAGAATAATGTTAACCTGTATTAGCCTGGCTATAAGCTATATGAAATTGATATTGGCTCACTTTTTTTAACTATAAATCAGTTTACAGGTCTCTTTTCTTTTTCTTAAAATTTTTAAGAAAAGAAATAAAAAAAAATTAATAAAGCAATATATACCTTTTTTCTTGATGTTTCTGGGTAATTTGTTGTATATGTATTGAAAGTGCTTGATAGCTTAGTTTAAAGAATATATTGTTTTTCCTTATATGTTTGGACTGGTTCACTTTTCTAAGAAAATTACCAAAAAAGAAAATTTTTTTAAAAAAAGAAAATCAATGGAAAAAGTTTTTTTATAATAAATAAAACTAATATAATATTAAAATATATAATAATATAAATAAATTTTATAATTTTTAATTAATAATTAAGGATTTAAAAATTATTAAAGTTGAAATTTATAATAAAATTATAGTAGGTGGACTTAAACTTTTGAAAGTAACTATATATTCCAATAATATCAATAATAATTAAAAAAAAAAATTCAGAAATTATGTTCTTTTAAAAGTTTCAAGTTTTTCAAAAAGATATTCAAAATATCAAAAAACAAAAAAATAAATAATATAGATTGCAAACTTCTATTCTTCTTAAGTTTATTTGATAATAAAAAAACTTTTTTGACTAGAAATTAAAATCTTTGAATTTTTTTTGAGCTATTTTAATTCAATACTTGCTTAAATAATGGATCTAGTTAAATTGACTTATCTAATATCACAATAATAACAAAGAAGATATTTTTTGAAGTTTAAGTAAAAACAAAAAAAATATTTTAATTAAACAAATCCTTTTTGAGAAAAGATTTTTTTGCTAGTGAACTTTTTTAAAGAAGCTTGAATTGTACTCCTTCTTTCTTCTTTTTCTTTTTTTCTTCTTTTCTTTAACTTAGCAATTCATAGTTTTTGAATAATATATAGTGATAAACTATTAACAATGAACCTAGAAAATAGAAATTTATATCAATTTTCTAGAGAAATGAAATATTGTTTCCTAAACCTGACTTAAAATACTTTAATACAATAATAAATTATTTATTATATGAAAAATCTATAATATTGTAAATAGTTATATAAACTTCTCAATAAAGATTAAGCCATATAATATAATTATGGGTTAAAAAAAATTATGAATTAAAAAAAAAAAATAAATAAATTTTATAAAATTTTAAAAATAATTTCTTTACAAATAAAAAAAAATTATATATTAATTATAAATAAAAAATTAATTACTAGAAATTATAAATTAAATAGAAAACATCCTTTTATTTTATAATTAAAAGGAATTTTAAAAATTATATTTTAGTAATAAAGTCATAACCTTCAATAATACTAATTTTCGATTTCTTTATTGATACTACGCAAAGTTCTATTTGTTATGCCTCAACAGAGGTGTATAAAATTTTTTTAATTGAATGTGATCTTGTGAAGCTATAATGTATTGCCCATCACTTTGAACAAAAAGTGTTGACTTGCAAAGGTAAGAAGGCTATACTATATCTAATGCGCAAAACTTATTGTTTAGATTCATCAGAAGCGTTAGAGCCAATTGAAGTATTTTTGAGGTCTTCTTGAGGAACACTCTCGTAACTCGGTGGTGGAACCACAGTGTAAGCGGGAACCGGAGTATAATAAACAACATAACCATTATCCGGAATACTATCATATTGTTTTTCAACTTTGAGTCTCTGATAATAAGACCATACTGCCATACAAAAGTGAAGCTACAAGATAAAAGAAAAATAAGCGTCAATATATAAATACCGACAAATAATAACGCAACCAAATGCTTACGTCAATGAGACACGATATTCCAAGAAATATGATCATTGTTGCAGCAGCCTTTATATACCACTCCATACACTGGTCCATATCCATTTCAAAATCAGGTTGCTCAATCAATTTTCCGCAGATGTCTTTGTCGAAGTAAAAGGCTACAACGGAAAAGACAATGGACACAGAGAAACCCAAGATAAGTTGCCACCAATAAAAAATAGAATAAATTTTCACATAATTGATTTTATTCTAGAATAACAAATAAATAATTTAGATCGGTGAATAAAGCGTGTAAAAGAAAAGATGGTTAGATCATTACCTTTATTACTCCGTAAAGGCCAGCAAGGCAGGCAATCGTGGCTCCAATATAATAAGTAGATAAGACACTGTAGAAGAAACCAAAATGTTCTGCTAACAATGAAAATCGATAAGCGTTTGTCATGTACGCTAACTGCGAGGGTAAGAAAGTTACTAACTGTTCAGCAATTCTAATACTTCATGAATGTAATTTTACTTACAGCGCCAAGAGTGGCTAATATAAATGTGGCCGTTCTGGAAAGTTGTAAAAACATTTAATTAAGTGAATAGTAAAAAGGCACATTCTTGAACGAAAAATCTAAGCATACCTAAGGCCAACGCAAAAGCAACACTTGGACAACATGACTGACGAATTTCAAAAAACAAAATGTTTTAAGGAGGTGTAAAGGTTTAAAGAGTTACGTATGTATTGTCGGTTTCTTAATTTCCAAATATAACTGAACGTGGTGTTACATTAAAATATAGCCAAGTACGCAAAAAAAAAAAAAAAATATTCATAAATTAATACTTTTAAAAATCATTATAAATCTATTTAAAAATTGAATTTCCAATAATTAATAATACATTTATTATCAATAACAAAACTTTTATTTTTGAAATAATTATCTAAAGTTTTTACTTTTATAGTTTTCTAAAGAATTTTATTAATTTAAATTTAATTTTGAATTTTTAAATAATGCAATGCTTATCAAAAATAATTGATTAATTAATATAAAACATATTAATTTTAAAAAATATTTTTTTTTTTGCTAATTGACAATTATGATATAATAATATGTCTTTAAAATAATATTTATAATAGGTTATAGACTTTTATAAAGTGACTAACTTGTCTTTATACATAAATACTTTAAATTAGATTTTAAAAACAATATTATATTTTCTTAATAAATTGATTATAATTTCTATTTATCGAGATTATTGTCAATAGTTTGTTACTATTGATTGATATGAAAATTAGTAAATTTTTAAATTAAAAAGAAAAGTGAAAAAAATTTGAAGGAAGAAAACAATTCAAAACTTCATTAAAAAAGTCTAAAAACAAATTCATTCTTTTTTTAAAAGAATTGCTTGATTGAAATAGTCTTTTTATTTCATTTGAACTTCAAAAATTTTTTTTCTTTATTATTATTTATAGTATTGGATAAGTTAATTTAACTAGTTTTTTATTTAAATAAGTATTGAATTAAGATATCTTAAAGAAAGTAGTTAGATCTCAACTTTTATTTATTAAAACTTTGTTACCATCTAAAAAACTTTAAAAAAAAAATGGGATTTGTGATTTATATTATTTATTTCTTAGTTTTTTGATATTATAAATATCTTTTTTAAGAAACTTGAACTTTGAATAAATATTTTTAGAATATTCTTTTCAATTACCAATAATATTATTAAAATACATAAGTGTGATTAGTAATGCTTATTTATATTTCAAAAACTAATGTATTTTATAATAACTAATTACCTTTTATAAGAATTTGTACTACTAAATATATTTAAAAAAAATCTTTTTGCTAATTCTCTATTTATACACAAAAAAGATGTTTACAAGAAATTTTTTATTTCTTTACTAATAAAGTCTTAATGTTATCCTTAAACTAACTTGAAATTTTACTTAAAAAGGTACTTTTAAATTCCCTTTCTTGTTTATATTCATTTTCAATTAAAATTTTGGTTTTCTATGATTTAGAAAAGTCAAGAAACATCTTTTCTACTTATGGCAAAAAAGTTTTATAAGAAAGAAGAACTAATAGTATAATACTTAAAGCCTTTTATATTAAAGCATGTTTATAGAGATTTTGTGTAGTGGAAGGTAATGAACATCAAGCCATATTTTCAAAGTGTTTGTCTACTACTTCTTTTCTCATATAATTATCCAAAATTTTTTGATTTTCTGAAGAATTTTGTCTATCTCAGTTTGACTTTAAATTTTAAATAACACAATTTATTATAAAATATAATTGATAGATACAAAATATATTAGTAGCTGAATATAAACAAGTCCCTACTGGTTACCTCATATATTTTGATAATATTATTAATAATAAAAAGAGTTGATTAATGCCTTGTATTTATTTATTTCTTCAATTGGATTAACCTACAAATCAAGTTTTATGAAATCAATAAGATATAAGCAACAAACCTTCAAATAGTAAAAAAGCTACTATTCATTTAAGCTGAGGTCTTTTTCTCTTATCATTCTAATCAGGTAAAGTTCAAGATTAATATTTTCTTTTTATTCTAGTTCAACAATATAACTGAATAATCTTTAATCCATACTAAACTTCAACCTTTTGATTATAATTAATAATACATTTCTTCAAAAAATTTTGAAGAATATTGTAATTGATGAGGATGCTTATTATTTTTTAAAATCCTTCTATTATTATAAGGCAAAGGAATTGTTAAGGAATCTGACTTTTTGATAATAGAAAATATATATTAGTAAAATTCCTATAACTAGACATAACTGTTGGAAAATATTATATTGAAACAATATGACTTAGTTCTTACTGGATCATATAAAAATTTGGGATCTATTATAAGTCATCTCTTTACTGCAGATAATAATAAATCCTTAAAGTATTTAACATACTGTATAAAATTTTACAGATCACTTATGTTCTTTTTTGAAAGAAAAATTTATAGCTCTTTACTTTAATAGGAACAAAAGTCAGGAAATACTATAAATCAATAATTTAATAATAAAGAACAATTATAAATAGTTTTTTTATAATTATTAATTTAAAAATTTTAATGTTTCCTAATAAGGGACATTTGACTTTTATTCCTGTCTCCCCTTTTAGGGACCTATCTTTAACTGCAGATGAATATACTTAAAGAAGGTTGAAATCAAGTATGTCCTAAAAGTAAAGGCTTCCACTAGGTGATAAGTCTCCTTAGACAATACATAAGAAGAAAATCAAGATCAAGAATAGATAAGTTTTTCAAATAGTCAAGAGAAAAAAGAATATTTCAATTGAATATTTTTTATTAAAAAGAAGTCTTG